ACATTTAATCACTAAAGCATTAAAAAGAATTTACACTCTATTTATTTTGATCAGCTTACCTCTTCAGAAATATATATACCCCAAAAATGTGCATACATTAGCAGCTATAAACATTACATGGCATATCACACTATGTCAGCTTATATGAAAACGTACAAAATGTGAATGTATTCAAAAAACTATTCTGCAGTTACTATCTTTAAAGCAAGACATAAAATCATTATGAAGTCTTGTAAGCATAACACTGTTTCAAACAGAAATAAATATATAACACTTTCTGGTAAATTACAGCAGCAAAAAACAAGAGGCATCCTTTTTTTAAGCAAGACTTTCACCACTATAGCAGCTGTTCAGACCTGAATTCCTCTCACAGCCTGCTTTATATTTTCCAGTAGGGCTTTATTTTCTGGACTCTGATAACGATCTTGATTTGTATACATGTCCGTCAAAGTGGTCACGTAAGCATCAAAATTTTGTTCATTGATTGGTTCCTACGAGATATTAAATAGTAGTTCATATACAACTTTTATTTTCTTAATCGTATATTCATTTAAGCATAACATATTATCAAGGCATACTGCCACCATTTTTTATAATATTTAAAATGCCTATTTAGTTCTTACTTAATTTTACAGGATACACTGGAACAGGCCCTCCATGTCTTTGTTAGCAGTTAAATGTATCTTTATGGTTTCAGTGTTGTTACCACAAATATCCAACTGGTTGATGAAACATAAACATAAAAAAAGACATCTATTGTATGAAGTGAACTGAAGATCGCCAAATTCCTTAACTTGTGCTCTCAATCACTTACCATATGTGGCAGCTGGATATTAGCTAGACTATGAATTAAAGACTGGCTTAAATTGGCCAATTCATGAAGAAGAGACTCATTTTGCTGTTCAATTACTTTGTTCTCCTCTTCTATCGTCTTCAGGTTGCTCTCCATTGTGGTAATCTAAAATGGACAAATTTGTGTACAATGTAATATAAGGCAAGCTGTTATAAAGCATGCGCTCTTTGAAGGGAGAGATAACAGAAATACCAGGGACAGGAGAAAAAAGTCTATTCATTCACACTTAGAAGGATTTTGCTTGAGTCTGCAATTCTTATCATTGTCAAGGGTTTTTTGTTCCTGCTGCACGTTGTATGACTTTAACAGCTTGCCTTTTTAATATTGGTAATAACGAATGAACCTAGATTTGATTCCACTCCTTTCGAGCTTTTCTTCTTTAGTTGAAAGGCATTAAGAAGGACCTTAGTTCTGCAAGTTCACTCATGTGGTTAAACACTTCTACTTGTAGGAGGCTACCATAGGGGCATTCTGCAGTAAGTCATGCATTTCTTATATTTCCTGCTATATATATAAGTATATATGGTTAGTTAAGCATGCACAGCTCCTTGCTGTTAGTGTTTAGCTTTTTTCAAGTATAATTTGATTCTATGCAAATTCACAGGGCTGCTTTTGAAAGCTGAACAATTGCAGGTTATTGTGATCTATGTGCAAATTCAGAAAGTTTTCTACCACATACAATGACTCGCAAAACCGAAGAAACTGAAGAAAATTTGCACCTAGCCAGGAGAGCGGGTCTCTGGGGCACGACTACATGTACAGGTGAAGACACCTGAGAGTATGCTCTGCCTGTGTTCCCAGGTGACCAGATACAAGCTAGCTCTGACCTTGCACGGTGCCCTGCTCTAACTAAAAAGCATTGCTGAGAGGCAACTTAGCTGAGCTTGTGCAGAGCACCGTGCTAATGAAGCTGTAAGGATTTCAGATGAGCACTGGCTTATGCCCAACTCGACGAGAGCACAGGCAGAGCTCACTCTTACCTGTCTACACTTTCCTCTGTAGACCTGTCCTTACTTTCCACATTGGATGACAACTATTAACATCTATTACGAAGTGTACAGTGTGCTTTTGAGCGTGTGTAGGTTAAAACATGCATTGACAAGAGGGCAAAAAAAGATGCCAGAGAAGTGGAAAAAATCTGAAGAACACAAGGTTTTGAATTCTCAAAATAAGCTTTACCCACTTCTACGTTGCCATAGACAGTGAACTATGGGAAGAACTGATACCATTTAAATGCCGCTTGGAAAGTTGGAGGTTTGTGCAGTAGTAGCAGGCAGAAGGGGAGAAGGTTCTTAAGTGAATATTAACTTGACCACAGGTGAGTAAATTTTAAGGTATTGTTGGCACAATCAGGTAGTTAGATGTCTCAAGTTTTACTCTGGATCTAAGTTTCAGTCTGCTTATGCAAATACAGCCCATGAGTTGATAGAACTCTGACAAGTGATGTGGCTACATAAAATGATCTTCAAATATCTCTTACTTTGACTACAGGTGTTTATATAGCAGTTAATCCAAGCTGTCAGTATTGCAGGTGCTTGGCTTTGTCACAATTAATTGATTCTGAGCTACTTCTAGAACATATTATAGTAGGCAAAATACTTTCTTCAGCTTTGAAACTGGAAACACATCCTCCTCAGTTGTTTTGCTTTCGGCTTGTTCATATTGGAGGACAAGGCTGTATACAAATGCAAAACACCTTTCATAGGTGCTTGTTAGAGTCAGTCGTACTCCAATATTTACCCTAAAAACTGTTTTTCATATTACAGGCCAAACAAAGAGTGCGATGACAATGAAGGCCCAGTCCAGTATCGCATCCTGCTGCTGCTGCCTCACACTAACCTAAGCAGGAACTGACATTTTATAGATTTTCTAGCTAGCTGAGCACTGCTACTTGAATAGATCTTTTTTCATATGAGATGCTGACTGTCTGCAAATACAGTGGCAGCTGATCAGCATATCTCACAATTTCATTCAGTAGTCATCTGTGTAAGTATCTTAAGATAACTGGCATACTTAAGTTACTGTATTCACTTGCTTAAAGGCTGAAATCCTGCCTGCCTCTCCCCCCCATTTTATCTTAAAACTAATGAATGTTCACGTGTACCTATTCTGAAAACAGGATAACCTGTTGCTTCTATGAGACACACAGTTATTTGCAGATTATTCTTCCTGCCTCTCACCTTTATGTGTTTCTGCCCCTCTCATACTTTTGGACTTGCATGTTAAATTTGAACAAATTTACTAGAAGATCTTAGATTAAAAATACTTTCTTCAAAGTCTTAAGCAGAAAGGCAGCTGAGTAAAGGAGAGTCTTATGAATGCTCCAACTGAGAAAAAGGCTGCAGCATGCCTTTTCACTTTATTAAATATAAAAGATGCTACATGGAAGGGAAGTTCTTTTTTTGAAAACTTTCGCTGGCACTTACAATCATGTGGGATGCAAATCCATACCAAGAAGACTGTTGCTACTTCTGGTGTTCACAGAACTTCCACTATTTTCCCACTGCGTATTCCTCACCTGTGAAGTCTTATTGCAATCTAGGTTGCACAATGATTTTATGAAGGTTTATCAGCAAACATTTTGTTATGTTCAATATAATTTTACTGTTGCAAATATAGGGGACTGCTGACTTTGATTCTCTTAACAGACTGAGAATGACTACTATGTAACTATCTGTGTGCTGGAAATGTAAATTGCTCATCTTCAGGACAGTGTATGAATTCAAAACTGAGGCCTCCAAATTTTTGTGAAATTTCACTCAGCTGGAATTTTCTGCTAGGCATCAGTAGCTAGTTGGGTAAGAAACAGGTAAGTATTAGACCAGACTGCCCAGAGACTGTGGAATCTCTAGCATAGGAAGTAAAGAACAGGTTAGACAAGCATCTGTCAGGATTGGCTTAAGAGCTGGGAAGTACGAAGGGAAGAAGACTGGCAGACAAAACAATGTTTCAAGGTCTCCTGTAGCTCTATTTTCTAGAATCCTATTAATTATTTTAATGATAGTATGTGCCATTGCCAGTCATTCTACCTTTTTTCTAAATCTGCTGCACCAAGGTGTGAAAAGCATCCTCTCAGCTTGATGGTAAAATCATCACCTGAGGTTTTTTTACCAAGAATATGCAGTGGTCCCAGGTAGTGCCTAATCGGACCTCTAAGAATATGCAATGGTGCTAATTTGAGATATGAAGGCTGGAACTGAGACGACTGAAGTATGGCTTCTGTACTCATTTCAGATCAAAACTTGCTGCGAAATTCCTAGCTAAATCATGGAAACGCAATACGTGCTTTATACCTGTGACAGTGTTATCATGGCTTTTTTTTTTTTAATTCATCTGGCCAAAAATAAAATTAAAAGTGCAGAAAGTTATTGACAAATGGATCATTATGTACACATAACAATCAAACTGTGTCACATTTTTTAAAATCTCATCTAAATCAGTCTGTATGTAAATAGCACCTACAGCGTTGCATTAAGCAAAAGAAAACATAAGGCAGACTGGAAGCTGCCAGAGTCAAAACTTAGAACCAAATTCCTCCAACAGAAATACATATAATTTTCCTGCCATTGATTATTCTTCTTGCTTTACATTCTTGCAGATTTTGTCCTCATGACCCTACAGTTGTATCTGATCACATCAGAAAACTGTGTAGGTTTTCAGTAAGTCAAATCCTATAAAGGCTGAATAATGACCACAGAACCTTGAATACAGACATAAAACAGAAGTGAGGTTTCAATATCAATTTGGCTAAGGTTTAGAACTCAAAGAAAAACCAAGTCGAAGAGGCAGATCCTGCCTTCTCTCTATGAATACACAAGAGGAGGAGGAGGACCATGGACATGGTGCTCTTCTCCACAAGCAGCAGACAAAGAAGTAACAAGGAATGGGTTTGTTTCCATCAAGATCAATTGGATGATTATGACCATGGGACTAAAGGCTGACAAATGGTGAGAACTGTGATAAAGCTCACTGTTGGTGTCTGTGCTCAAATCACATAAAGAAAAAAGCACAAGAAGCTATGTTGGACACTGGGAAATGCCAGGGAAAGAATTCAGTTAATTTCCTTCCTTCGCTTTTTCCATCCAGTTTTAGGACTGATGAATAACGAGGTTTTAAATAATAGTCTAATGTTAGGGTTTCCTTTTTTAAATTTCCAACAGATTTATATGGAACCTAAAAGGAATTAAGCTGGATCTGTGGAACCACTACTGCTGCCAAGGGTGGCACTTAAGTGTACCACATGATGAAGTGTAACAGGTATTTGCTTCCCTATCTAAATTTCCTCTGTAAGACAGAACTGGCAAAAACTGTGTTGTTCATCTGGACTCCTTCACCTTGTAACTTCTGTTAATGACTACGATGTCACACAATATTTTAACTGCTATTAGAAAGGCAGCACTTATCAAGGGGAAACACAAAGCTGACCATGACAAGTCGTGTTTTTTGCCATTATTTTAGAGAATATATTTTGCTAAGCTTTTTTTTTTTTTTTTTTTTTTACGGTGGTAACTGATATGTAAATTGCATAACGGATATTGTTTTCTGATTTTATAAATGGCAAATCACAGATAGAAATCATAATAAGTAAGAAAGATAAAAGGGAACAGCATATTTCCTATATTTCTTTTAATCAGTCACGTAGAAAAAGCAGCTGAATTTAGGGCTTCATAAAACTGTTACCTGAGTTCTGAGTTTAATCATATCAGCTTCCATCTGGGAGTTGGATTCATTTAGTTCTTTGATTTCTTCATCTAACTGTTTAATTTCTTCATCATTTTCTATACCTGTGTGACATAAAAATAAAAGGGGTGTTAAAATAGTTAAGCTTTAAATCAGAGTTCAGTGAATTAATTATTTCCATATTTGAAAATAAATTTCTTTCTAGTAAAAGTATTAAAGTAAAAAAGAAAAAGTAAGCATTCTTCAAACTTTTCTTTGGCAGTTAAAACAACATAATTTCCACTACTTTTCTTTTAAAAATTGCAGTAATTTTCCAGCAAGTGTTGAAAATGCCTAGAAGATCGGTAAGACACACCTTTTTCTTTATGTACTGACAAACTTTGTATTATAAGAAATGCACCTGCAGCAACAAATTCTGCTCCATTGTCATATGTAAGTTATTTGAAAGACTTTGTCCATGTATAGATCTTCTGAAGGAAAAGAAAATATCTTAACATGCTAATATCTTCATATTACAGCATTGTCAAAATCATTTGTAACTAATAAAGAAGATTTCTTTTCCCAACACAGTGAAATTTTGTTGATATATGGGAATATATTGTGATTCTGCTGTTGCTTTTAATAATTACATGGTTCAGAAGTGTGTTATTAAATAATGATATATAGAATAACTCTCAAAATGGAAGTGATTTCTGAGTTTTTATGGCATAAACAGTTAGAGAACAGAATTTTAAAGGTACCTGCATTTTTAAGGATTCAGACAGGAACAAACTGTAAAGGTTTTATTATTTTATCCTTTTAATTACTGAAACAAAGCATAAAATAGTCCGGGGAAGAGATAGACCTGTTTTCTCTCAAGTCAAAGTCTGAACTTCTAAAGCGAGAGAAACTGATGCTCCCACTGTCTTGTTCTTCCTGTAGTGTGTCTTTCAACCTTTTCCCACAGAGCCTAACGCTAATAGGAAGGATGTCATGTGTCCCCCTAAGTACCCAGAACATCCATACACCACTCCCATTCTTCCTGGGCATAGCAGACACAGTTTTCAATACTTCCCTGGTTTTAGAGAAAATTACATCCAGATAGTCCACTCTCTGGTTACCAGTTATTGAACGGAGACAGCCAACGCTTTCTCCAGCTGTGCTGGCAACGTGGGTTGAAAAGCTTCCTGCATTGTCTTGAAATGCTTTGTGGCTCTCAAACACAGTCAACACCAACAGTTAAGAAGGCGCGCACAGTCACAGACTCAGTGACCACATAAAGTTTTCCAAGAAAACTCAGGACTTGGGCACCTTCCAGACAAGCCTTTTGTGCATTACTTATTTGAACTGAAGCACCTACATTTTGCTTTTATTGCACTTCAACTATTAGGGCACTATCCTGACTTCATCTAAGGTACTTTCATCATCTCTCCTGCAACTCAAGGTTCCCAGGAAGGATTGCAGATTATCGTACAGGAAATGGCACAAGGCCATCTACATCCCCCAGAGGTTACAGAGCCACAGCACCAAAGGAATTCAAGGGAGCTCATGAGCATTTGACACTCTGGAAACCAAGCTTTTTCTCTTCTGAATCCTGTAACAAAATATGACCAACTACCCACCTCTGATGAATGAAATGTGAACCAGAAAATTATAATGGTTTATTCTACTTTGTAATACGTCAGTGTTTTAGATTTATGGACTTAACTCAGACCAGTCTGACCACTCCACTGCTGGCTCAGATTTCCACAGCACAGAACACAGTTTCACTTCTACTGACAGTGAATTCACTATTTATACAAAAATTTACACATGTAGGAAAAAAATCTAATATAGTAATGATAACTTCAGTTTACAAGGAAGTAATATTTAAAAAGGTAATGATTAAAAGTTTACCATTACTGGCCCGCTGCTTTATTGTTAGCATTTGTTCTCCAGACAGCTTTGCTTTCTTCATTGCTGAAGTAGCTCTGGGGCACCCGGATAAACTGTGAACAGTAAGGAGCCTGTTAATTTTGATAGGTCATTGAAAATAAATCTGTAATCCAAATCCATAATAAAAAAAAGGATCAGAATCAAAGTTTATCTTCACCGCCTAGCACTGAAAGGGTGTGTTACTCTGAAAAAAAAAAGACTTACCAGTAGCGATTTCATGGTTTTATTCTTTCTTCCAAATTCTTTTTATATAGACAGCTAATATAAAAGTCAGGTATATCTTTGTAAAACTATAAGCCTGGGAACAACAGTCCAATTTTCTAAAGACTCAATGCTTTTATTAAAAAGTTTTATTTTAAAAACAGTTACTGTGTAAGTACTCCCCTTTGAATTTACACGCCCCTGCTCTGAACTTCCACCATTTTCAATTCATATGTTCAAACATGGAACTGAATGCTGGGAGAAGAGGACATGAGGTAATTCTCACTTCCAAATGACTTTTACAAACTTCGCTTTTCTTTGTGAATATCACCTACTGGGCTGGCTAAATTGCCCTTTTCTAAATTGTTTCTTAAAACCACAGTAACTATGTGTTGGCTTTTTGTTGAAGCCCAAGAAAAGTAATTCCCATAAAAATCACCTTGATGAGGGATATCTATTTCTTATACTGTATATTTGTTACACTTATGGATGTAGACCCAGTTATCTCGTTTCCCCTCTTGCCAAAATATTAAGCTTTTCAATTACATCATATAAAACAGTTTGATAGCAAGTGCAGTTTTAGGAGGTTTCATTGTAAAAATAAAAATAATGAACAGACAGTGCTCATTGTTTTACAAATAACTGCACACACCAAACTATCCCCTTTTTCAAAATCACATCTTCAATGTAGTTGCATTATCAGAGGTAAGAGAAAATACATAATCAATCTAATTTAATGATGGAAAACCATAGTCTTACTCTAAGCAAGCTTTAGCAGTGAAGGAAGTTTGGAAACTCACTACATAATTCCCTATTGCTTCAACATTTGAAGTCTCATAGCCATTGAAACTGAGTAATGTCACGTACTGCTCATTGCATACAGTCACATTTATAGTTCCTCTTCAGATCCAAAGGAAGACCTTTTTTTTTTTTACAGTTTCGAACTGTGTAAATCAAATTCAAAGCTAATATTCAAATAAGCTTTCTACAACATGGAACAAGTTTCTGAGCAATGTGCTATCTTTGATTAAAAGCATTTATAAGTAAAGACCCAGCTTTCTACTAAATAAAGTCCTCTAATTTAAGTATAATGTATAATTATTGAAAATGTTTCTCTGAACAGCCTGGGCTACCATTATCAAGGGCAGCCATCCAAAAAAGGAAATGTTTCCCAGAAAAATGTCTAAAAAAAATTTTAATTTTCTCAGCAAAAGTGTCAGCATGCAATATTTTATACAGCTCTGTTACTGAGAAGATATATAAGAAAATAATACTAGTAGTATCAAGAAATAGCATGACCTCGCAGCTTTTCACTGTAGCCTAGGTCGTGGGATGCCAGATTACTGATCAGTGTGTCCTCTTGAAGTGTCAAAGGGAGCCTTGAGGGGGACTAAGGAGAAGATTAGCTGTTTGGGAAAAAAATTGTTGGCACAAGGAAAGGAATGAAAGACAGCAGTATATCTAAAGTTTCCGCATAACTTAATTGACTTCATTTCTGTATACTTTCAATTGATTTAATGAATTTCCTCATATTTTGTCCTCATTCTTTTTCAGGAGTTAGTATCACTGGGCATTATAACAACTGTGTTAGTTTACTGTCATCTTAGTCTGCAGCCTTTTCCTCTCTAAAAGTCTTGACTGATGATAACCTAGGGAATCCCTCAAAATGAAATCATCCCTCAAACAGCCCACAAGTACAGCATTCGAACCCTAAACAAACCAACAAGAGACCCGGATGCTAGAACTGTGCACCTGAAAGTGCAGAGGAATAATGAAACACAAAAAAGTATGTTCACAAGTATTAGAAAACTACTGTGAGGTTCAGTGTGCCTACATCCAAATTTTGGTGCCAAAACCCCAATCTTGTTCCCAGGCCACGGTTATGCACACTCAGGACTGCCTAAAGCTGTAGGTATATTCTCAGCTTCTCTGAAAGGTTACCTCTCTACTAGTATATTCAGTGTGCTCCCAATCACGCTCTCACCCTGACGCCCCAGGCTTAATGCCCCATATTTGCACTACTAAGCTTTCCTACTCTACAAAATAGGGTGGCCACATTCTAGCCGCCTAATAGCAACTGTCTCTGGCTCATGCTATCATGCTATCGCCAGTGGAAATATATCTATGGCAAGGTTAGGCACTTACATATCACTTACACCTCTGGTGCAGTTCAGGCATACTGGCACCAGATCTCCTCTGCCTAAACTGCAAACAGGAAAGACCTGGGTCCTGTGCTCTGTTCTTGCTGCAGGAACTGCTAGCTCGTTGTTCTGCATTAATTATCTACCTTCTTCTGGAAGCACCCAGATGAGTCATGAGTTAATGAGGGGAAAGGCAAAGGGCTGGCTACTTTTGGGTCTACAAGTGAGAATGCAGAGGTTTCCACACCCTGTAGCCAGATTAGTTTTGTTCTTACCCACTGGTGATCTAAAACAATATGAACAGAGGACAGCTTTGACCAAAACGGCTTGCTTTCCATGTAACTGCATGCCCAAATCACAAGCTTCCTCCTTCTGCTTTCCTGACCCTTACACTCGTGGCTTTAACATATGCATCATGTACTGCTATGACCACCTTTAGCTTGTTATGTGTCTGTCCTTAGAAGAGGCCATGAATGAACAGAAGGTCTTAACTTTTCCTGTGCTCTATGCAACTTAAGAGAACATTCAAAACTCAGAGGTACCAAATTCAATACAGGGAAGATGCCAAAGCCAGACCATGCCATCAACTTCCTCTGCAGGTCTTTACTGGCAAATCTGTCTCTCCATTAATTGTATATTGTATTGTACATGTATTAGCTCACTTTCCTAAGCCAGGCACTTAAAATTTCAATGAAGTAGATACTAAGTTAGTAACCTAAATTAGAGGGTTGAGTTGTACTACAGTTTATTTAATTTGGCTAAATTCTTCAGAAATGAAGACGACAAAGATAGCAATATGCATGCTCTTTGACCAGCTCTGTTCTTAATTGAGTTACCTTAAAATACTTTTAGGGTAAGCTTCTACTCTGCAAGGAAATTCTACCTCTTCCCTTCTATGTTCTTGACTATGTTTACTGCTCCTGAAGGTTAATTGCTCTTTCTCTAAGTCAAGAACAACCAGAAGAATCAAAGAATCACAGAATCACAAAATGGTAGGAGTTGGAAGGGACCTCTAGAGATCATTTAGCCCAACACCCCCACCAAAGCAGGTTCACCTACAGCAGGTCACACAGGAATGCGTCCAGATGGGTTTTGAATATCTCCAGCGAAGGAGACCCCACAACCTCCCTGGGCAGCCTGTTCCAGTGCTCTGTCACCCTCAGAGTAAAGAAGTTCATCCTCATGCTCAAGTGGAACTTCCTGTGCTCCAGCTTGTGCCCATTGCCCCTTGTCCCGTCGCTGGGCACCACTGAGAAGAGCCTGGCACATATGGGAAGGTAAGATGAAAACCAGGGCTAAGTCAGCATTGCACCAGAATCATAGGAACATAGAATGGTTTGGGTTGGAAGGGACCTTAAAGATCATCTAGCTCCAACCCCGCTGCCACGGGCAGGGACACCTCCCACTAGACCAGGCTGCTCAGAGCCCCATCCAACCCGGCCTTGAACACTGCCAGGGAGGGGGCAGCCACAGCTTCTCTGGGCAACCTGTGCCAGTGCCTCACCACTCTCACAGTAAAGGTCTTCTTCCTAAGATCTAATCTAAATCTACATTCTTTCAGTTTGAAACTGTTAAGAAGTGGGCTGTTGTACAAGGACTGAACCTCACGGAGGTGTGAAGTTAACAAAAAAGTTTGAATTGAGATCCCAGTGAGACTGGCAGTGGCTCGAGATTTCTAGAAGACTGGTGTGTAGAATGAGACAGAAGACAAAAAAGAGTAGGTATGATTTTGTTTGTCTCAAATATCTTGATATTTTACTGGTCTTCCCATGACTGGCAAACAAAAGAGTATACGCAAAAGGCATTTCAGTGCTTTAATAGTTAAGCAAAATGCGCTTTAAACATCTCAAAAATCAAAAAACACCAAGAGAAACACACTAGCTGGTACTTTTGGTAAGGATAATACTTAAGTTTAAAGTATTTACAGTTTAAATATCAAGTTCAAAGCCTTTACAGTTGATGCCTGTCATAGATTTTCTGTTACAAGTAGAAATAGTGTGTAATCCTACTTTGGTTTATTTTTCACATTTTAACAAACCTTACACCGACTTTTACACAAACATGGAATTCTGCAGCTTGCTCATTCCAGCAAAGAACTAGTAAAATTAGTCACAGTTATCTCGCTACTGCCATTATTCTCATACACATGAGAAATCACGCAAAAGAAAATACACAGTCCAGTACTCTTTCCATAATAAAAAATGAGTAAGGCTTTCTAACAACATTGCTGGGGGTATTGCTGCAGTAAATACAGTATAAATGTACTGAGCCATCATTTATCTCTGTCAGATTGTGGATGCCACAGGGCTTGAAGCTACAGCATTTTGGTGGGGCCATGAGGAGCACCAATATCCAAATCCTGGCTCCCTCTGGGTTCCTGATTCAGCAGAAGCTGTGAGCTGCTGCTGCCACAGAGACAAGGTATCAACAACCAGCTGATCATCAGCACCTTGTCTCGTTGAGATGCAATGCATCTTGGCTCTCACTGAATTTCTATCGTTGGGCTTAATCTCTAATTTGAGAAAGAAAAGTATGGTCTGGCACATTATCCTTGAAAGCCATAATTTACAAAATGCTATGAAAAATGAATTAAACTGTTAAGATTGAAGTGATCCAGCGTCAGATCCTGCAAACCACCTGTGAGGCATGTGCTAATATTTGAGAAGGTCTCAATTTTTACTGGTTGGCTGGAGATCCCTGACATCGTAACA